TTTTCATGACGCAATCGTCTTAATCCTTAACCCTTTCGCTGTCAGCCGGACATCACAGGTGGATGGTTGGCGGGGGCTCTGGTGTGGTATTAATTTTTTGCTCCTTCTTTCCTATCAAACAGCTTTCGTCCTGGTCTCCCACAATAAAATGTTATTTCTTAGAAGTTTTGCCACCAAAAATAATTATTAGTGTCATTGGTAAGCTGTGACATAAGCCATAAGCGTATCCAAAATTAAATGTGTGTGAGAAGAGAGAAGCGGGAAGTGCTGTGAACAATCCCATTTTCCGCATGATTGAGATCTGTAATATTTTATATAAAATTTGTGAAGGAATGTTTTAAAATCATGCTTTAATTTTCGTGGGAAAATATGATTAAGTTAAGACAAACTGTTACAAACTGCTGTGCAAAGTATGGGTGACATTGATTCTCACACTAAAGAGATATTTGAGGATGAACTGCGCCACGAATTTTTAACCGCACCTTATTTGAAGACGATGTGGCAACAAAAGGGTTAATTTGTCGTGAAGTAAAAAAACGAAGTTGGGGCTGTCGTGGTCAGACCTGAGCTGACACACTCGCCCCTCATAACTATGTCATTGTTTTCTCACCGTACCCTCTTCCTCCTCTCCCTCTCCCTCCTCCTCCTCCTCCTCCTCCGTCCCCCCTCCTCCACTTATGTAGATATCACTAACTTTTGAGGAATCTGCACTGGTGGTGGAACAAAAGCCGCCAAAAAGGGGGAGGTGGGGAAAACGACACCCAGGGGTATGAGGGTGGGGGTGGTTTGTGTGTGTGTGTGTGTGTGTGTGTGTGTGTGTGTGTGTGTGTGTGTGTGTGTGTGTGCGTGAGTGAGTGTGTGTGCGTGTGTGTGTGTGTATGTGTGTGTGTGTGCGCGTGTATGTGTGTGTGTGTGTGTGTGTGCGTATATGTGTGAGTGTGTGTGTGTGTAGGTGTGTGTGTGTGTGTGTGTGCGTAAAGAGGGGAGTGGGGGGCGGAGGGTTATCGCGTGTTTTTCTGGAACGTTCTCCGCTTCGGACGGTATAGGAGAGGACGTCAGGGGGTGGGGGAGTCTGGTGAGAGGTAGGTCGGGTAGACCAGACCTTGACTGACAGAAAAAAGACACTAGTTGACAACCACGTGACGTCTTAAAGTGTTCACCTGTTGATATATTATACCGAATGTCCCAATTGACGACTCTAGAAATTGAGGTTTGATAATCCTTACTACTTCCCGATACAAAATAAATTAAGGCTAATGGTGGAGAACCCCCCCCCCCCCCAAAAAAAAAAAAAGAATTAAATAAAAACGCCCACAAAAAAACAAAAAAACAAACAAAACCCCAAAGAACGAATAAACAAACACACAAAAATCCGCAAACAGATTTCAAGATAGTCTTGTGTGGTCACTTGTCGCTTGGTGGTATAGCCACTGACTTGTCAATCATTGTATTATATTATATCGTAACCAACGACATTCTTGGCAGTAAACAAACAGGTTATAATTATAGTTAGGTCCTTTGATGTAAGCGACAATACAGCATAAAGCAACACACCCACACACCACAGTTGTGTAACGCCACCATCTTTGCGCCAAATGCCCCCCCCCCCCCCACACACACACATATATACAAAAGTCCTGTCGTTCCCGTGGGCAACAAGACGGGACTATTGCTACTCTCGGGCTCTCACGGCCTAGAGCTTACGGTGTTCGACTCTCATTCAATAGGTTCCGGGTTCAGATCTGAAGAGCGAGGAATATTTTTTCTATAAAATTGTCTCCTTTCACCTCCTTTCCTGCTCTCTAACAATGTTGAGGGGGCTCTCCTGGCCTTGAGGTTAAGGTGTTCGCCTCTCATTCGATAGGTTCCGGGTTCGAATCTGGAGAGCGACGGGAATTTTTTTCTTCTAAAATTGACCCCTTTCACCACCTTTCCTGCTCTATAATAATGTTCTGTCGTCTGCTTTCGTCTTCACTTTCAGCTCCCACCCCCCTCACCTCCTTTGCCCCCTCCTCTAGGCTCCTGACTCTTTCTGCAGCCTTTCTAGTAACTTTCTACTGCTATAACTCCTTGGCTCGCAATGAAAGCTACTCCGTTCTGCCCCCTCCCCCCCAACCTGACGTAATCCTTCTTTTTCACCGCGTCTCCTCTGAATTTACCCTGTTCCCCTTTGTTCTTTCTTTCTCTCTCTTCCTCCCTCTTCCCTTCCCATCTCCACCCCCCATCTCTCTCTCTCTCTCTCTCTCTCTCTCTCTCTCTCTCTCTCTCTCTCTCTCTCTCTCTCTCTCTCTCTCTC